ATCTTGGCAGCGCGTTTGGAGGTAAAGGAAGCGACCCATCTAACCAGGTTATCAGGCCACCCTTGGTCTCTAAGTCGGATGACTAGTCGACCGGGGAGTACGCCATCAAATGCACCCTTCACATCAAGCGTCAGGAGGGAGGCGGTAAGCTTACTGTTCAATGCTGTTTCGATGTCATGTACTAGGCAGGTCGTCAAGTCTGTGGCCGAGCGACGAGGCACGGCTCCAAAGTGTTGTGAAGCAACTATCTTGTCCCTAATAGCTATTCAAGAGAGGCGGCGGGCGATCAACCGTTCAAGGCCTTTCCCTAGGGTCAATATGAGCGTGGACTGGATCGATCTGGCTTATTAGGCTTGTTCAATATGACCAGTATAGGAGTCTTGAAGCAAGCAGGATGGTGACCAGCCTCAAGGCAGCCTCTAAAAAGACTGCTGACCCGAGTTTCAATTGATGGCCAGCCTATCTTCAGGATTACCGTTGGAATTTCGTCCTCACCGGGTGCTGTATTGCCTGCTCTGATGACCGAGTCCTTGATTTCAGCCGGCGTTAGGTCGGGGAGCGTAAGGCTGGCAATGCCGACTGACAGCACATCTAATGCAATGTCTGCTACTTCAGAGGCATTTTGCAGTAGGTTCCGACCTAGGACGTCGCGCTTCTCTTGAAGTGTGTTTGCAGGTGGGGCTCCGGAGCTAGTTGGATCTTTGAGAGGCGGGGTACGAAATGATCCTACCGTTCGGTGCCAGTTGACCATCCCAAACATATCTTTTGCTGTATTGGCTTGATCTATTTTGTCCTGAAAAAACTTTCGCTTTGCCCTGCGGACAGCTGCACGCAATGGCTTTTTCCCGGCGGTGATAGCGTTTTGGTCAGTTGAGCTTCTTCTAGTTGTCCGGTAGGCCTGCGCAGCGTTTCTACAGTCGTTGTTCCACCAAGGTTGTCCAGTCCCTTTTCCAAGAGCTCGCCATGCAGATGCTCTATAGGCGTTCTGAAGGGCCGTGCAGCTGCTTTGAGCGAAGAGATCTAGAGATTTAGGCTGCAGATTTGCAGGAAGGTCTGTGAGTCTTGCTATCTCTAGTTCAAGGAGAGATAGGAAATGTCTTTCGTCAAGTGTGCTGAGTTTGAGGCGGGGTATTGGCTCCTGAAAGCGGCTGTCCCACGGGATTAACGACGCAATAGGGAGATGGTCAGATGTCAAACAGATTACCCTAAGTTTAAATGTTGTCTCATGATGTTTAAGTTGAGTAGTTTACAAGCAAGTAAACTGGGCTGATGCATCAAGGGCAATAACTTAGTCATGCAAATGTTACAATTAGCGACTAGACGGATGGCCAATTTCATACGCACAACTCCCTTGTTGTTTCACTCCTTCTATTGCCCATGATAATGTAACAGCCAATTTTAAACCCATGTATGGAACAGAGATTTAAGCAGTTCGTATTGGCAATCTAATATTCAGTCTATATTTGGAATTAGTGGGATACTCAAGATATATATAGTACCTAGATAGATTCCTCATGGGAGAGGACAATCAATTCAATCAACTCTGAGAGAGATTCATATTAGTATAACTTTGCTCAACATCAGATGTGACGTCTAGCTCCGGGATTATTGAAGACTCTGCTCTCGCAAGTATCAGTGGACTAGAGGCGAATGCAAGGTCTAACACGCTACTTCGAGTGTGGGTTGGCATGTCTGATCCAGAGATTAAAGTGATGTTGAGTCTGTCCGTCCACTCAACAAATGGTTCTGCTAGGGGACTGGTAGTTTGGGATGATGCCTACCGCCGCGTATGCCTGAGGCTTAGGTCTCCGGCGAAGAAGATTCGGTTTGAATGACCTGGAAAGGTGAGATCGATGAGGGCTCTGACGGCCTAACCGCCATTGTTTGAGCCAGTCGGAGCGTTGTACACGTTCACTACTAAGAGGCTTGCCCCAGATGACGCGGTAACCTCCAAGAAAAGGAGATCTCTCGCGGCAGTACTTATTAGGGGGAGGGGCTGTTGTTGACATACTTGTAGTCCAGCTCCTTTGCGTACATATGTGAGTACTCGAGGCCGGGATGACCAGTCATCCGTGGGGGTAAAGCACTCATAGTTAGAATTGAATTTAGTGATCTGGCGTTGTCGATCAGTGTAGATGTAGGGTTCTTGAATGAGAAAGATGTCGAATCTTTCTTCATTCGCAAAGGTAAGTGCAAGCTCATGTGAAGAGGCTCCCCTACAGACGTTGATCTGCAAGAGACGCAGTAGCCCTATAGACCTGTGCCGTCTAGACTTCATCTTCAACGTCTAGAATAGCGGAGCGATTCCCAAGGAAAACTGTGGGACGCGGGGGTGAAGGTGAGGTGGTCCGAACAAGCTGGGTCGAGCTTGGGGGACCTTTCAGCATTAATGGACCGGGGTTAGTGTCAGAATGGTTAGTGGCTTGCGTGTAGATGGGGGCTTGGCCCTAAGGGATGTCAGTCATTTCTTCATCTACTGAAGTGTTCGTGGTATTTCCACGGATGCAGCCTGCAGTGATGCATAGGCCTATTCTTGCTGCGGCAGATGTGCTGCGGACTTGAGTTACTTGCCCCTTTGTCAGCTTTATACCATTTAGTCAGGGTCTGAGTGGGCACTCTGAGGTATCAGCTGGATGTGGACCATCACAGTGGATACATTTAGATGGGCAGAGATGTTGGTGTGGCCCACATGGCTTGTGGGTTTCCTCTGTATGCTCAAATGAGCTGCATAAACGGCAGCGTGGAGCACGGGCGCAGATACGCTGATTATGCCATTGAAAACATCTACCGCATTGAGCGATATAAACTTTCTTGGATAGTTTACTGCAGTTGATGCCCATCCCGAAAAGACGGAACCTTCTTGGGAGACGAGAGCCCGTGAGGAAGCGAGAGATAAATCTGGTGGATGGATCGGAGGGAGATGCAATACTTCCCTTAGTCTCGACTACAACAGTAGGATTAAATCCATTTTCTTCCTTAAGTTCCTTTAGAACGAGTTCTGGGGTGGTTGGCTCTTTGACGAGACGGTTATTATTGTCTAAAGTTGTGAATGTGCGAAGTACAGATGTGATTATGTAGATATCCAGGTTTTGGGCTTTTTCAATGCCCCGTACACCTGGAAACCTCCCTTCTCTAATTCCCTGGACGAAAGGGTCTTCTAATCTTGTTAAGGCCGCTTCTGAAGATGGACCGAGGGCCAGGCCAGATGGCACATGTTGCACTTCCTCCAGCATGGCAGAATTCTCTCTAAGGAAATTTCGGAGTTGAATGGGGAGTAAGTACGCTGATATCAGGCGTTCTGTCGCGTTTTCATCAAGGCGTAGAAACAATCGATCATCCAAAGGCAGAGGTTTGGCCTGTTTTTGGAGATTGGAAGGTCTCGGTTTCTGAGGGGTGCTAACTCCAGCGTTGCCCTTCGGTTTTCTTGCAACGTTCGCGTATGAGGGCTTCGCATGGGAAACTGGCTTTGGCTGGGTTGTCAGAAGGTGGTTAGATGTTGCGGGAATTGGTATGCCTCGCATATGGTTTTCGAAAAATTCTTGTGCAACAGCTTGCATACGGGTCAAGAACTCGTTATATATTTTCTGTAAATGGAGGGGGATTGTAGACGCAGCTGTACCAGATGTGACATTATCCAATGCTGCAGCGACGCTGCCAAACAAAAGGGTTGCCTCCTGCGTATTTGTGTTAGCAGCGGAAGTCGCTTGGTTCAGCGTTTCTGTCAGAGTCGTTGGTGCCCCTACTACTAACGGAGGAATAGGTGGAGGAGGGGGGTCAGGCATTGTTCGCGGTCGTAGATATAAGTATGAAATTGAAACTAAAGGGCGATTTGAAAGGAGTTGATGACCTGCGACACTGTGAGTATCTTTGTCATCCACTAGATATCAGTAAGCTTCAGAGGAGATGTGCTTGGAGGACAGTGATGCGGCCCAGGGCAATGTATTTCAGACATTTATTGTTCCTTTGTCGCTTCTGGCTTTAATGCCGGTCATGTAAGTAACAATGAGCTCTCAGAATTCATCTACCCGCGTCACGTCTAAATGGATGTAGGGTCCGTCCAGTCACGTTAAATATTTCAAATCAAATCAAATATCAGTAAGCTTCGTTGTCGGAGCACTTGCTCCGGTAGGCCCGAGGTTGGTATTTATGCCTTAGGCACACAAGTGAACTCAGGTTTTATCAACGCTTCAGGGGCGTCACACACATATCTCCATATACATGTACATCTTAATCAGTCACCACTTCTGCATTAGCAAATCCATTCTCATTACCTATGATATCACAGAGATTGAACCTGTCATACGAACACCAATCAGTGCTTGACTTGATAGCAAGCACAGACAGCTAAGTAATTCATTGGAAGACGACCCCATCGGCAAGTTCGACCAGGCTGTGATAGAAAACGACTGCTTGTCTCACAATTTGGGTTCCAGCAGTGCGAAAATCTAGACATCATATCACAAGTTAAAATCATTGTCTCCCAGGCGTCCAAGACCTCGCCAGAATCGATAACATGAGCCAAGCTAAGTTCCCGGAGTTTGTGGGACTTCTCCAGGCCGAATGAATGAAGCCACATATAACGAAAAAGTACACAAGAGGAAAGTAGAACGTTAGTGATAAAGTTACGGATCTGAATATCACTATTGTCACATGGACCGACAATTACCACCAAGGCTTGATCGACTACATTCTTCTCAAAATCTTCCAAGAGGACATCGTTGAGTAGAATGGTGATAGCTTCGCCATGATTTACCCACCAACTCTAAGGAGATTTAAGAAATTCCTCATGTTAAGAGGAATAAATGTAGGATGTGAGAACAAAAAATGATCAACCATCGCACAGCTGCTGACAGCATTGCTTGAAAATGATCTCAAAGACTTACTCAAGTAGCCGAAGCGCGAACTTGACCAGACGATTAGATACGGGCCTGAGATTCAGTCACTTGTCTACAACGAGGGCATACAAAGTACAGTTAAAGTGGCAGATAATAATAACAGTGATGATACTGGCGCCGCATCTGCGGACCTCAAAAGCACGAAAACTTGCAAGAGCAGATATATCCCGCCAAAGGGTGAAAAAGAAGAGGAAATAATATATCCCTCGTACCCTAGTATGACTCCGACAAGACATACATCCCGAAATGGGCGAAAGAAACACCTACCGAAGGTATCAATACCTTGAGAGCGCTGATGGATCTAGGTAAACTTTATATCAATCCTCAATATAAGTTCGGAGCCAGACACTATGAGGTGCTCCAAAATAAGCACATTATATTCTTCGAAAAATGCCAGATTGCCGGACTTGGAGAAGCCTGTTCAAAGATGCTTTCTCCACAATGCTACGAGATGCCGCGCACGACTATTAATTTAGGCATCTCGCTGAGGATCTTGAAGATCTGACTTTTAATGAGATATTCCACAAGATGAAAAGAAGATTCCACTCGAAAACAGAAGAGCAGAATTATCGAACTGAAAGTAATTAAAGGTAATCCTGACAAAAACACCCTTCAATGTCTTGACTTGGTTATCGAAGAGCTCCAGAAATTATGAGGCTCTCAGATGCAACTACGGTCTTAAAAGCCACAGTCTCGCTAGACAATTATACGCCGCGTGCCAAGGCGTATCAGCCTGTGAACAAGCACAAATCCGCCCCCACGACGGATTTGAAGATGCCTGTGCTGAGCTTCGATCTACTGTTAAGGTCCACATGGACTGCACTCCAAGGAATGCAGGGCTATTCCATCAGATAGAAGAATACTTCGATAATGAAGAAGTGGATAATTGACAGTACTTTGTCGACCGTAGGTACGGTGGAAAGCTAGGCTACGTACGAGGGGGACTTCAAGCAAGAGCTGGCCGAAGTAGTTTTAAGGGTGGACTTCGAGGTGGATCCGGCAGCAATAACGACCGCCGGAAGATTTACTTCGTGTGTAAAAAGGCGGGGTGCTGGTCCATACGGCACAAACCAAGCCATGTCAAGGAAGAATCAATGGCTGATGGACGTACATGGCTGAGAATGATCTCCCCGCTGGCAATGATACCCTGGGCATGTTCATCATCGACTATGAAGGCTACAAAGTGAACCAGAATGATGATGAAACTGATCTTATTGGCATGTTCAACACGTAGTCTGAGGACAAAACTGAGCAGTTCCTCACAAGTTACGGTACAATCGATGGAAGGAATACTGGTATCCTGCTCAACAACCATGAATCTAAAAATCCTCTGACAGCCAATGATCTATTCAAATCGGCCCAATCAGAGTCAAGCTCTATTTTTCAGTTTCAGAGCCGTTACGATTCAGAGATCTTCCAGGAGATTTTGCCCGACACAGGAGTTGCAGGGCTGTCGACTGCTGGAAAAAACCAAGTCAAACCTCTCCAAAAGATTATCCCAGAGCTCGAGATGGGCACAAGAACAGCAGGTAACCATCGTATAACTTTCGGTTATAGCCTCATGTGGCGACCCTCGGAACGGTCGATGTGAAAATCCCGTTCGGCACAATCACATTTACAGTTCTTCAGGCAAACACCCCGTTTCTGCTTTGCTTAACTGATATGGACAAACTTGGTGTGTTTCTCGATAATACTCAAGACTTACTCATTCATATAAATAAACAGGGCAAGCGAGAAGTATACCCCGCTGTACGCAACTGGGGACACCCTTTCTTCCTTGAACTGGAAGCCACCGCAGCAGTATGCCACCTGACTGAAATCAAGCTTTGGGAGTTCCATCGTCGATTCGGTCATCCAGACGCTGAGCGACTCAGCAGGTTACTCTCGCGCGCGGGGTACGATGAATTTAATGAAGATACCCTGCGACAAATAAACAAGTTCCCGGTCCTTGATTCCTAGGAGATATAGAGCATAGCTTAGGACCTAAAATTAATAAAAAAATAATGATAAGCAAGTTCTGTCGCCAGTGTCAGATCCATTCGAAGGCACACGGCCGTTTCCGCTTCATGTTGCGAGAGGACATGGACTTTATTCGACTTTAGTTATCTAAATATTCAGACATATAATGAATATGGTCTGTTTGTCGATTATGATGTGGCTGCGATTGCAGTTGGATGTAAATAATGTAAAGGTCTTTATCAAGTATCTTTAATTTATATATTTATTATGGAAATACCCTCCCGTCTAGTCTACTCTAGTATGTACATGTAAATGCCTTCTTTTATAGATATTCCCAAAGTCAAATATAGAGCACCTATATCCCCTGAGATATATGTTCGATACAGAGTTGTGACCTGCCTCCCATATTATGCGCAAGTCCAAAACTACGTTCTACCATGTCCGTCAGTTCTGTATTAAGTTTTCCAGCCTTCTTTCCGTGCACATATCCTAAAGTGTAATTTGCCCGTAGATGTATGATCAGCGGCGGAAACCTGCAGTCTAATAAACACAGTTTAGACACCATGGGACTAGAGTCTAACTCTAACAGACTTGAATTTTCGCTTGATCATCGACGTCATGTATATACAAGGCAAACCAGCTCTTCATGCAGTCGACTAAGCCACCGCGTTTCAAGCAGCAAGGTTCCTAGCTAAATGACCGTCAAGGCGACCTGGGAAACACTCCGAGCATTGTGGATTGACACCTACCTGGGACCTCCTGACTTCATCATCACGGATTCAGGAACTAACCTGAAGGTTAGTGAGCTCGTAGATGACGCTTGGCTGCTTAACAAAAAGTTGAGGAAGTCCCCATTGAAGCACATTACTCGATCGAGAAGGTCGAGAAATATCATGGGTCGGTAAAGCGAGCTTATGAAATCTTGTCATTCAAGTACAAAACGTGGCAGCAGAGAATATCTAGATTGCCGTGAAAGCGGTTAATGATACCGCAGGTCCAGACGGTCTCGTCTCGACATTGCTCGTCTTCGGCGCGTACCCACGGATGACCCAAACATCCCCACCATCTACAAACATTACACAGCGCGCCGAGACTGTGAAGAAAGCAATGATTGAGATTCGCAAACTTAAGGCCAGACGACAAGTGGAAGATGCTCTCGGCATTCGAAACGGGCCCAAAATTCTCGACACACCACAGCTCCCTCTCACAAGCGATGTCCGTGTATAGAGAGAAGGTGCCAGATGGACTGGACTTCACAAGCTTCTCGCACGGAACGAAGACGATACGGCATGTACCGTCGAGGTTAACAGCCGACCAATGACCTTCCTAATTACATCAGTTAAGCCCTACTATCAGGATGAAAATACTGAGATTCCGGTAGCAGAAAAGTCTACCGAAGAAAGCCATGCACTCCAGCACGATGACGACAACTACGACTATAACCCAGACGCACAAGTTCCTGCAGCGCCATGTCGCCGCGGTCGACCAAAAGGATCCAAGAACAAGCCGATTTTCACACCAGGTTCATCATCACAGTTTACTAGCAACATGTTCTGGAGTGACAAAGAGAAAGCCGACGCAGATTTGGCCGTGAAGTTACGCAATGAAGGAAGGATACTGACCCCAGGAGCTCCGTTTGAGCTATGCGATCAGGCAGAAATCGAAGCACTTATTGGTGATGGTGTTCTCAAGTTCGAGCCATATGACGCAGTTAAGCATGGTAACTCAAAGATGTTTAAAGCACGGCTGGTCATGAAGTCAAAGGAAAAGGAACAGACAAACTATACGAGAAGTCCAGACTCGCTGTAATGAGATATAACGATACAGAGAAACGTCAAGTACTTACATAGAGTCCCAATATATAGTGCTCCAGCCAACGTATTATCCTTTCGCTCATAACAACATTATGTAAGGCGAACACGATGACTATCTGGCTGGGGGATGTTACCCAGCCGTACATACAGTCAGATACCGTCCTCCAACGGCAGATAGTTGCAGAGAACCCAATCCAAATATGTCACATGTTTCCACCAAACACCATCATCAAAATTATCAAGCCTTTGTACGGACTAGCAGAATCTGGAACGCATTGTTGGGCTACATACTTCCGCCACCACTGTGAGAAGCTACCTATGGAGACATCAACGTTCGATCCATGCCTTTTGGTGACCACGAAGGAGGCACCATCATTTAGAATAGTGGGAATGCAGACCTATGACACTTTAGGCCTAAGTGATGGGGCCTTCGCGGAGACTAGGGATCGCGAATTGGCTTTAAAGGCAAAACCGAAAGAGTTCCTATCTGCAGATCATCCTCTCCTGTTTAACAGATGCAAGCTAACACTTGAGGGTGGCGACCTGATACTGCAGCAAAATAATCAGGCCGGCAAGCTTACGCTGGCAACTGATTGCAAATAACACATGCAGCAAAGGACTCAGAGAGCCTATATAGCGACAATATGCCAACCAGAGGCCTCTTTGGACTTGTCAGCTGCAGCGCAACACAAAGATCCGAACAGTGACGAGACAGTGTCGCTCAAGAAACGACTCAAACAGCTGAAAGAAAATACTACCAGAGGGTTACGTTATGTACCGCTGAATTTGACAAATATGAAGCTTTTTGTATTTTTTGATGCGTCATTTGCAAACAACAAGGACCTAACGTCTCAGATTGGCTACATTACTGTGCTCGGCGGCGAGGAGGACGATCTAACTGACAGCCTTTAGATGACCAGCAATTTTATCCACCTGTCGTCCACTAAGTGCAAATGCGTCACGCGCAGCGTCCTGGCTTCAGAAATCTACGCCACGGCTCACAGTGTTGACATGGCTGTGGCAGTTACTAGAACCATTAACACCATTATCGGAATGTTAGCTTTGTAGTTGTATTTATTGGGCTAGGGTACTGGCGATTGCATCTGGGATGATTGCCACTTAGTCTTAGTTATTTGATTAGTCAGCATATCCCGGGACAAGTAGTTTGCAAAACTAGATAGAGAGGAGACAGATATACACATATAAAATTTACACCAACGATCAAGTCCACTACTACAATAGAGAAGCGATCACTCCTGTTTTTACCGACAACCATCGCTAACAAGTTCAGCACCATCCATAAACCTGATATTCTACAAGTTCTAATTATCGTCTACACAGATAGCAGGTCGTGATACGAGTGCCTCGTCAAGCTCGGTACCACCAAAGAAAAACGATTGATGATTGATATCATGGCACTGCTGCAGAGATACGAAAGAGGTGAAATTCATGAGGTGCGATGGATAGACGGTAAGGATAATCCTGCTGTTTTAATGACCAAATCAGCAGCAAACAAGGCTCTTGAAAATAATATCAATACAAACAAGATAACTTTGCGTATAAAAGGTTGGATAGAAATAGCCAAAACCAATTGACTAGCCAATAGAAACACGCACACGCAGGAGCAGATTGGGTGATTAAAGGTGTACAACATTGAGGAGTAATGGTAGTGAATTTATCTTGGGAATAGTGTGGTTAGAAACACGATCTTATTTTTCTAAGTATAAATATTTTGCGGTATGGTTTTCATGGGATGGTTGGAGTTGTGGGTTTGAAGATTACAACATAGATGACACCAAAAATTTGGCAATTTTCTCTACAAAGAAAAAGTTGCCAGTGCCGGCAAAGACGAATTCTTCACCTTCCAGTGGTGCCGGTGTAATCGCTTAGTATGCTTTGCATATCTGGGATAACCAAGAGGAATCATAGTCGAATCTAAGTCGAAAGCAACCTCATACACATCTCCATTTGACAACTTCTCGACAATGCCTCTCTCATCATTATCATCTGAGTCCTCAACCCATCTCTGACCACGCATCATCTCGCCTCAACGACCAATAAAGGAGTTACCTTAATTGCATACAGGAGCTTGCCCCATTAATCTCCTGCCATCACTCACTACATATTTACGACGCTATTAATATCCGCAAGGAGGAAATCAAGTCGAAAAATACAAAGCCTGGGTCATGGCTTGTGTGGGACTATTGCTCTAATGGGACAAACAACTTGAGGAAGAACAGGCGTCTGAGATGAGGAGCGAGAGGGGGAAGGAGTCTCTGAAGACCAAGCTGGGACCGATAATTTCGAGGAGTTTTCAACTTTGGATTTTTTGTAGGCGCCAAGACCGATATCTCAGCTAATTAGCCAGGAGGGCTTCAATTGTCGATGAGTCAACGGCACTCCCCAGCGCCCTG